GCAATTCAAACTCACATTAAAGACATAAAAAAAGCAAAAAAAATACAAGAAAATGAAAAACGCACCCGACCAGTCTAAATTAACCGCCTCCTCTATTCTCATAATCAATAATATTAATCAAGAAGCTTCAAACTTATTCTCCTTACCGGTTTACTTGCCTTTCTGTAAAATTCATCCGGCAGTAATAACTCTCTACAAGAAGCACGAGATGTTTAAAATATACCCCTCGCTAGAAGATAGAAACGTTCAAGAATAATTTACAAAAGTTTCTATGAAAATCAAACAGTAACTTAATATAGACAATTCAGAAATTGAAAGTACAACATCGCAACGACAAATAATGATGACGGTTTTCTTACCGACTCTTCTCTAACCTCGCAATGTTCTCAATGTTAAAAATACTTTACTTTCACGTTAGTACTATGGAACGGCGATGAGTTCTACTCCCGCTTAGAATGCTTACAACAATTACTCAACAGTACATAAGATATCATATGTCTTCAAGAAACCAACTTCAAGGAAACACCTAGACGTGAAGTTAAAAATTTTGAAGGTTACCATTTTCTTCGGATAGAGTTTACAAGAACCAGTGAACGAACATCTATTTTCATTTCTAAAGATTTATTTTCTGTACATTATATCCTAACTACCAATTAGGAGGCTATAGTAGTCCTATGCAGTACATATATTCCACCTAATTACAACTTAAAAGACACCGAGTTGACACACAGATAATTTAATTCGCCAACTAACCAGCTCTTTTATACTGGTTAGAGATTTTAAAGCTGATAATACTATGTGGGGTTCTAAGAAAATATTTGGTAGAGGAAAAACCGTAGAGACCGTATTGAGTTGCAATAATGCTAGTCTAATAAATAGTGAAGCCAGTACATATTTTAACATTGCGTAAGGAACTTACTCTTCTATCGATCTGAGTATGTGATTCCAAGTTTGCCGATTTACTCTCATGGCATACTTTAGATCAATTGTATGATAATCAATGTAGTAACCAATTCCCGATACTCATAACAAATAGCGATAACATTTTTTCCACCATTACTAAATGGAATATAGCTAAAACAGACTGGAATGATTTTCATAATAGCGTCGAAAATCATCTTTTATTACTCCAATAATCTGAAGATATACACGAGGCAATAACTTTCTTTAATAATTGCATTATTATGGCTGCAGAAAATCATGTAAAAAAAATAAAAATATGCCACTCTAAAAGAGCAGTGCCATGGTGGAATTCAGAATGTGAACTAACTGTACGTCAATGCAAAATACAGGGAGGTAAATGGGTAGAAAGCGAAAACATGGAGCTGCTTCCATTTACTCCACTTCTCTTCTACTCAAATTCGACTCTCATATTTATGATGGTGCCTCCTGTTAAACCGAGCAACCCAATTGGAGATCCGGTATCCAACCCGGTTGGAAGGTTGGGTCGGTAACTGACAAGAGCGGGTGAAATGGTCCTCCGAAAAGGGTGTTGTGCTATGGGCTGGCGTTCCGTACATGTGAAAATTTGGAGCCACGAAACAGAAACTATTACCTCGGAATAGAACGGATAGGAAATATAAACGACACTCGCAACGAAATAGGGACATTTGCGTAGGAACATGGAATGTGTTAAGTTGGCACATATCTGGGATAGCGACGAGAGCCATTAGACAACTACAAAAATATAACATGACTCGCCCAAAACCGAAATGGTTGGACAAAACATGCGAGGAAATTATGGAAATAAAAACAAAAAGGATTAACAATGCTACAAGACCCCACAGATGAGAACAAAGCAGATTTTAACAAAACAAGAGCGCAAACAAGGCGACTATTAAGAACTAAAAAGAGCAGCTACCTAGAACAGCAAATTCGAGAAATGGACAGAAGTGGCGAAAGGAATCAAATAAGGAAATTCATTAGTGAAGTGAAGTCAGTCAGAAAAGGTGCAAGTGTTGGAGTAATACAGCCTATGAGAAATGAAGCAGGTGAACTTATAATGATAGAAACGGAAATCGGCAAACAATGGAAGGAATACTTTCGGAATTTACTAAATATTGAAAGTAAGACGGAGGAAGCAGATATTACGTTTCATTCTGCAGATATCGAAATACCAGCACCAACACTTGAGGAAGTAAAGAATGCGATCGCGTCTCTAAAAGACCATAAAGCACCAGGAAATGATGGGATAAATGGAGAGTTGTTAAAAAAGGAGGAAACCTTTTACATCAAAAATTGTATGACATAATTCTGAGAGTATGGAAACAACAGAAAATGCCTAGAGAATGGAATGGAAGCGTTATAATTCCCATACATAAGAAAGGAAACAAAGAACAATTCCGAAACTATAAAATGCTATCACTTATCTTGACTTATCCGACAAATATTAGAAAAAAACTGGGAATTCAACCGCAATATGCACCAAATTTTCATAGATTTCCAGCAAGCATATGATTCCATAAAAAGAAGCACATTGTGGATAGCAAAGTTAGAAATGGGAATACCAAGAAAATTAGTTTAGAAAGAGTAAAATATTTACTCGTTATTGTTTCATCTAAATTTAAAATTGCAGAATTCATAAAATAGTATAAATCAAAATGTACTTTTTAAAGCTTTCTCTCTTTATATTTGAAGCATACAACATATCCATTATAAAAACACCCCAACATTGCCAAACCGAAATATCTTATTTCATGGTTGATATTTGCGGCTATATTCAGCTTGTACTTTCGGTAAACTAAACGTGACTCAACCCATATTTTGTATAACTATGGCAACACTGATTAGAATTACCCAGAGATCTTACAAGGTCAGTAGATATTTAAGTCTTAAATATCTACTGACCTTGGAGATCTTACATATCTCTGGAATTACCCACGGTTGGTAGACACTACGGTTGCCTCTTCTGACTGGGGTGGGGATGCTTGAGACTTGGCACCAGAGTAGACAAGAATACAAAACCCATTTATTATCACAGTTTGTTCGTGGTAATTATCTTTCAGTTATTATTTGCTTTATTATTTATCGTTTCTTAAATATCTTAGTTTACTTTATATTTTTGTATTTGAAAATTTGGTGTTGTTTTCTATAAAAACTTATTTTTAATTAACGAAAAGGAAGTTATTTATTCTAGTTGTACATCGTACCTATTGTCGAGTACCTTACATAAGAATATCTTTTTATAAGGTAGGTTAAAACTTTAAAATTTCATTCTGATCTCATCTGATCAATTCTGTTTATTATCATCATTATTTTATAGCAATTCCGAAAAATCTCAAGATTTTTAAAAACAAACAAAATGTGAACCTACACCAAGAAGAGATAAAAGAGTAGCAATGAAAACACAAACAGCTATCATTGAAGACTTATAAGAAAAATATTTAAAAAAAAATGAAAAAAATAATTATGTAGTGTATATTTATATCTATTGAAAATAAAATAAATTAGGTACGTTTTTTACCAATTAAAATTTATTACATATTATTTAAATTCTTACATTAAATTATACAAGTAATTCTAACTCGGATAATCCTAGCTGACCCCTAAGGGCCGGTAATTCATTCTATAGTTAATCCAGTATTGATAATTCAGTATATGCGACAAATTTTCAGTGTAAAATGGTGATTGAAATCCTAGATTTACGTAAATCTAGAATTTTATTCTAATTAATTTTAAGTACCAAACTGTCTACATATCAACAGTTTTCCATAATTAGGTATTATAATCCACTAAACATCTTTATTTCATAACTATATTTACTATTTTCTATACATCAAAAACATGAAAACGCTGATTAACAATGTTACGATTCAAATTACGTCACAAGAGTACAGTTTCGGGCTTAATGTTCATTGGTTAGTCGGAAGAGGCAACCGTAGTAAGTCTGCGAACCGTGGGAATTACCCTTCTTGACCATAAGAAACAGTTGTCATTTCTTGTTGTTTCATGGTAAATAATGGTGGCTAATGGCGATGGCTTATAAAAATAAGACATAAAATATTTTAAATGAAAATTACAGAAAAATATAACGTTTTCCAAAGAATAAAAATCATTGTACAATAATCAGCAAGTAAAGCAGAATTCATTAATATAAATTTCATCTCCGCAGATATCGATCCGTCTACAATCTGGTTCCGTCTTACTACACTACTACCAAAGAATATAGACGCTTAGAAGCGTCTATATTCTTTGCTACTACCTACAAATAAAAATATAATATAAAATTGGACGATTTTTACATTTGGTCCCATTGAAGATAGCCTCAAATTAGCTGTCAATTAAGTTTCACAGAACGAAATATTGCGTTGGCAGTGTTGCCAAGTTATTATAATGTATAAGTTATATGCTTCAAATACAAAGAGGTAAAGCTTTTAAATGGTACATTTTTATCATATTATTTTATGGATTCTGCAATTTTATACCTTATATAAAATATTAATGAAGTAATATTTGTTTCGTTTGATATTAGTTGTAACAAATTATCAGAAAATTTTTTTGGCAATTGCCCTTTGGTAGGTTAGCGGATAGATTTGGCAATAGAGTCAGAATGCTTAAAACACCAGCTGCCAGATTGCAACAAATGCCTTTTAAATTTTATTATTTATACTGACATTTTACTATTTACTGTTAAAAACTGTTTTAAAACTATTTGCGTTTTGTTTTTTTCGTAATCGTTAAATTACTTTTTAAATATCTTATTGCTTTTAATTGCGTATGTTTCGTTTGTAATGTAAATTTCAACACTGCGAAACACCAATATTTCATTCTGTCAAACCCATTTGAAGCAATCTTCAATGGGACCAAATGTGAAAATCGTCCTATAAAATTATATTATATAAATTAATTATATTATTAGCCACTTTCCACCAACAATAAATTAAAAGAAGAAATTCATGAATCTTTTCTGTATCAATCCGTGAATATCTGGGAAGTCAAGTTGTTCGGTGGTCAAAGTTTGCCTTCAAATAGAATTTTATGTCAAATGTCACGATTTCAGTAGTACCAATGATATTATTATTGGATATGTTATTTATGTATTGAAAAGTTTTACTGGATATATTAGTTCTGGTTCTCGTTCTCAATTATTTTTTGCAAAGTAATGGACGAACATGAATTCGCACACAGAGCACGAAAACGGATTAAGGAAGTGAAGAAACGGGCTAGACCAGGTGAGAATAAACAGATTTTAAAATTCTAACCTATAAAATTTAAATACTTTTGAAAATACTGTGAATATACCTAACTTTAAAAAAATCACTGGTAGTTCTCACAATATAACGATATTATAATAACAATGAAGATAACTAATTGTTATATTTATAAATAAAGTATTAACACTTCTATACAACCCCTTTTTACAAAGCTAACCCCAATCCCAAAAAAGAATTTCATATTTTACTTGTTTTGTATCACAACATCCCATGAAGACATTTTTCCTTAAATTAGTCATGCAAATAGGGCATACTGCTGAGGACCACATGAGTTTTAAGTTTTATGTTGACTGAAAAAAAAACAAGATATATTATTTATTTAGTTATCTGGCATGTGATTACCAATAAAGTACCTACACAAATAATATAGCATCACCTTGATTTAACTTTTGCTTTTGATCTTGAGGTTTTTTTTTCAAAGAAAATAAATCTTCCAAAAGTATTCCTTATTAAAAAATTATTTCTCATTTTTTAATTCATTTTAGAGATCAATATCCTTAAGTTAAATTATGCTGTTGAAACATCAAGTAATAAGCATAAATACCTACACATGAATGGAGTAATAGGAGAATGCATATTATATAATAGTGGATAATCATTTTAATGTAGAATGTATAATTCAGGTTTAGGATTTATTACAGCTGAATAGAATAGTTGGAATGAGTTAAAATCATCTTGAAACTACAAGTTGATCATAGTGTTTGATTTATAAACAAATTTCCTGAATTGGTTGCATTTATGTTAATTTCTATTAAATTGTTCTGCCCACAGTATTATTTTTCAAGAGAAAAGGGTGTTTGTGGTCAAATAGAACTATTTTTAATCTAATATGTTGTGCTGTGGTATATTGCTACCTCTCCATGTATGGAGCGTCCAATTTTTAAAAAACATTAAGAACAACTTTTTTCTCTTATTCATGTAATATACTCTATATGAGTAATATATTGTTGCCGTTACTCCAATAGGTCATATGTCAAAATAGACGATTTTTCAGGAGATGAAAAATAATATGAATTGTAGACCTTTTTTATTTTTGATCTGCTGTTTTGGACCAACTATACTTTCTTTAATCCAGGCATCATTAGATGATGCCTTGATCTAACATTGAAGATATTTGTTTCTTTACTCCTTCCTTATGTACCTATAGGTACCAGTATGATTTCGTATATATATATACTGGCTCTTCATCTTTGGTTTTAATATGGTGTTTAACTTCGTTGGTAAAGCTTAGAGGAGTGTCTGGTTGGTAAAATATATCAGAGAATTTTCAGGTTATATTCAGGAATATATCAGGTTAAGATGTTAGGTTTTAAAATCAAATTGTCAATATCTTGCTTCTATCCTCGTCCGAGGATTGTTTGCATTGAATATATATGAAAATTTTCTATGTATATTTCCTTAGTATCAAGTGGTTCCTTAAGGGAAAGATGAATAGGTTTTGATGTGAAGTTAGCAATTTTGGTCAAAGCGAGTTCTATTGGGTTTCGGCTGCTTCGCCAGGGTCCTCTGTAAAATTTACGTTTTCTTCATACTATGGTTGTTGATTGTAGTGAGCATCTTGGAAATTCTTGTAATCAGGTTCATAGTCCTGGTAGTTGGCAATATCTTCTTCCCTATCTGCTTGGCATTGTATATTGTATAATTCTTCAACAGTAAACTTTGGCTGTGCTTGGTAGTTTGGTATGAAGTTTTGGCGGCCCTTGTTTGTGATAACTGATATTCCACTCATATAGGTGTCAGTCTAGGCTGCTGTGATTGTCGCTGTTTGGGTGCCCATACATTTGACTGGTTCTGAGATCTGAATGCTGGAGGGTTTGAATTTTGTCTAAATTGGTTGAAGTTTGGATGCTGGAGTGGCTGTTGGAACTGATTCTGTGGATAGAATTGCCTAACCGGTTGCTGCCATTGCAGAGATGCAAAATTTGGCTGTTGATAGAATGGTTTTTTGATAGGTACTTGATGAGTTATTCTTTGTGGTCGATGTTCTTGGTAATTTTCGTTCCTTCCTGATGTTGTGCTTTGAGTTATCTGATTTTTTTACGATATCGTACATTATTTTCTTCTTCCACATATTGTATTGCTGTTGCTAAACTTTCTGGCATCATTGCTCTAATAGCCAAATCCAATGGTTCTCTTATTCCTGCTAGAAATGTTTTGAGAGCTTGTTGATGGAAAAATTCTTATTTTCTTCTTTTTATATCAACATTTACAGTATGTAGTTCTATTTAGTTGTTAATACAGTTTAAAAGTCCCATTATTTTTTTGAAAATGCATAATAGATTCTATTGAACCTTGTCTTACTAGGTCCCTTGTAAGCGAGTTTTCATCTCTCTTATCTCCAAAATTTTGAATTAATGCATTTTTTATTTCATCCCAAGTTTCACATCCATATACAGATATTACTTATTTTGCTCTACCTGTTAATTTACTTATAATACTGTGAAGCAAAAATTTATTTTGTGTATTAGATGCATTAAGTCTGTCATAATAATGGTTTAGAAGTATTGTTGAAACTTTAATAAATTCATGTAGTTCATTCGGATTTCCGTCAAAATTTGAAAGAATGCATACATTTTTTATGTCAAATTATGGAACTGCCATATTTTCAAAATTATCTATATTTATAGGTGATATTCTTAAATTATTTTCAAAATTATATGTATTTATAGGTGATACTCTTTTATTTAGTCTTTTTATTAAATCAATCTCTTCGCAGTTATTTAATTTTTTGTTTAAATTAGCTTCTAAATCTACCTCAAAGTCATCTAAGGACTCAGAGGAGTCTGACGTAAAATCTGTTTCAATAAATATATATCTTCTTAATTCTAAGTAATAAAATTCGCTCACAAGACAAAGATGATGATGCTGTGCATTCCTTCAATCTTGAACAAATTTTAACTTCTAATTCCCTTGGGTGAACTCTCTGCAAGGGGTTTCCCTGGAGTTGGTTCTTGGAATAGTGAACAAATACTTAAGAGTGACAAGGATCTTTAAAGACTCCACTTCTTTACTGATTCTACACCATTTATGAATGTTCTTTTGGAGAACACTTTTTTAAAAACACGAAAACTCAAAATAAACTTTTATTTGCACCAACAAAGATTTTAGTTACAACTCGAAATATATTATTCAAACTTTAAATACAAATATAACAGATTATTATAACATTAATGCCAGACTAAAAAAAGGAGGTTTTACAATGCTTTATTAATAATAATTCCACTTGCTGAATTTGCTGTTTTACTAAGTAGCAATTGATGTTGTAAGGCTCTGAATATTCAGTGCTGATAGGCGGCAACTTCATATTGAATTCCCGTGGTCGAATATACGGGATTCTAGCTGTCATTGAACTATAACTAACTTGTTACTGGAGGTTGTCAGGCATTTGTCCGATAGATAGATAGTTTATTGGTAATAATAATACAAAAGTACTTTTACTAGTCAAATGGTCACTCCGGGAGTGACAGAGGAAGTGAAGCATAACTATTGTTATCGTCTACGCACGGAGCGATGGTTTTTAATTTAATTAATTTTATTGAAGTGAATACTTCCTATGGCTCGATATGATATTTTTGCAAGGGCCCGAAAACATATTTAGCTTGCCTCGAAAAATTTAAATGCTTACAGTAACCTTGCGGTATACAGTAATATACATGATATAAATACATATATACTGTTATAAAAATTAAAGATAATATTTTAACCCTGTGTCTATACCCAGGTACCTGGGTATCCTTGGTAATTGTTTTATCTGAATCATTGACGATAGTATAAATATTTTTATTCGAGCTTCTAGTTATTCCTAAAATTATTTAGAACGAAGAGATTTGTAATAAAAACCAAAGAAAAAAATGCATATAATATATTAAAATTACCTGTCAAAGTTTTTACACCATTACATCCACACCCGTTGCACTCTGGTAAGACTAATTACTAAATTATGAAGCTCTGTCTAGTTTTTTTTATAATAAAAGTGATATGGAAACGTAAATAAAAGTTACATTGTAAACACATTGTCCACACTTACTTATATTTACTGAGTGTTCGTTACATAGTGGACGATTACAAACATTACATGATTTTCGTGTCTTTCTTAACCACTTTTTCGCTAATGACATACAAATGTAGCAGTTTCCAACAATTTTGAGGCGTCCAGTGGAATTTCGAAGTGGTAATGACTCTGCAGTATTACTTGAATCTGTAGGTAGAGGTTTTCCTAACATACACTCAATTCCTGACCTTGATGAAAAATTTCGGTATACATTTAGTACTTTAGATCTATCAGAAATTGCAGGCATCACTAGTTGTTTCCCTAAGTATTGTAGAAAAATTCTATGCTAACTGGTTTCAGTAGAACTCTGTGGATTATTCTCTGTATAAATTATATAGGTTGCTAGGCAAGTTATGTTTAGGATATTGTAAAAGAAGGCTACTGGCCAACGCAAAGTTCTGGGTTTAGTGGAATAATAAGAAACCATTTTGTCCATGTTGTCTACGCCTCCTTTAGTTGTATTATAGAACTGAATTATCTCAGAAATTACAGAAATATTGAGATACAAGGAGACAATGACGAATTGAAAATACCCAAACTATACCTATTTTCCTCTTTATTACCGGTGCTATTCCGTAAAAACTAAAGAATTTTAAACACCTGTCCTAGTGAAAATGTCTAAACCATGCAGAAACCTTAGTGCTTTCTTGGTCCAGATGCGTAAGAACAATTTGGATGGAGACTCCTGTATACCAGGTAACCTAGGACTGATAAACTGAACGAGTTCCCCCAGAGCTCAACCATTTTGAGACCATAGATACTTATGAGTAAATTTTCAAATTTTCCCTTAGAGAAAATGGAAGTCATATGATTTAAATCTGAATAATAGTAGAATTCATGATATATAAATATCATAAATTTATACTATAGACTTATATTTAGACTATATTATGTAAATATTAACTGTATTGAAATAAAGAAATGAATAAGTATAAAAGTTTATAAAAATTTCTGGAATCAAATAAAGATAATTCGGCTAATTTCCGAAAAAAAATTAATGAAAGGTGGTTACAAAGAAATATTCAGAAATTAATATTGAGTTTCTCAATATTACTTTTGGTTTATTTAAATATTAGCATTAAAGTTACTAATGTGAAGTGTCCGGTTTTTTTATCCATTCGTGTAATAATAACTTTTTAAAAGACTTGTTGTTTTTAGAACTGAATACCAAGAAAGCATGGAAGCAAATGGATTATGTTTCAGATGTTGATAGGTTCAAAAACTTTGTAGACAACTGTGAAAGAATAGATGAAAGTCGAACTTCCCAGAGACAATTTATAACACACTATGAACTTCCTTACAAACCTGTGGTAATTACAGGATGCCAAAAAGGTTGGAGAGCCGAAGAGAAATGGACTTTAGAAAAATTAACTAGGAAATATAGGAACCAAAAATTTAAGTGTGGAGAAGACAATGAAGGCTACAGTGTAAAAATGAAAATGAAGTATTATATCCATTATATGCAGTCTACTAAAGATGATAGTCCTTTATATATATTCGATAGTAATTTTGGTGAGGTAAGCTAAAATTAACAAAAGTTTTCGGTTCTTATAGGTAGGAAAATGAAGAATGAATTTTAAAATTGTTATATTTTTTAAAACATGAATATTTTTGACAATTATTTATATTTAAATGTGTTTTTATATGTTCTATCTATTTATTTATATGTTTTATGTAAAAAATACAAAATTTGAAACCCTGTCAACAACCACGGGAAAGAAAAAAATCTGGTGGTTTTTTTCTTCTTCGGAAACTGTCTTTTCTACACCAGTTTGTACTGCAACGAATTAGCTCATTGTACAACTTTTATTAACTATCATAGAAATCTTCGGGACTACAGTTGATTTATATATAGACTCATGCCAAAACATTTAGCTGTAGTATACCCAGCGATCTTGCATAGTCTACATTAAACCTATCTCATCCAGGGCATTCTACTGAGACCCGGATTCCTTCGTCCTTAAAATCCTTCGCTATTTTGCAGAAATGTGTATTTGTGTCCCCGCATTAGATGTACTAAATATTCCAATTTTCTTCTTTTTATGGTAAGTATTACATCAGACCTTTTGTACACCCTTCGTAATACTTCATTTGTGACTCAGTCAATCCAATTTATTTTTATTTAATATTCGTCGATAGCACCATATCTCGAAACTCCCAATGCTTTTTATATTGTTCTGTTTGAGAGTCAATGCTTCCACGCCGTACGACAAGGTACTAAACACCTATTTTCGTAACATTCTTATTCATAGAGAGAGAGAGAGAGAGAGAGAGAGAGAGAGAGAGAGAGAGAGAGAGACTAATATCACGATTACTAAACAGTTTCTTTATTTTTATGAAAATGAACCTAGCAATTTCAATACACGTCTTTCGAGCTCGATATCGTAGCTCCCAGGTATCTGTATCTATTCACCATTTGAATCTGGGTGTTATTTATAGTAATAATATCATTGTCAATTGAGAGAACTATCTTAGTACACCAGTAACTTTTTTACGCGATAATGACTCATATTTCTAATCAATAGATAGACATATTTACTGAACAGACGAATTTGTAATGGATTTGATTTTATGTACTTAATTAATCATTGTGGCAAATTTCTCAAGTAATATTTTCTTTTCTAATGGCAATTATTCAGTAATCAGTGTTTTCCTTTGCCAATAAAAGTGGATATAGTTCTTCTCATGCCCTTCTTTCAGTCGTGACGTACGATTATGGTTTAGGCATGTCGATTATTATTGCGTGCAATTTGGATTGTATTATCCAAATGTGCACTTGTTATGGAATGAAGGTCGTAGTGCAATTTGAATTAAAAACAATTTTTTTTTACTTTGATATAAACTGTTGTAATTTTTTTTAATAAAAAATAGTAATTCCAATTCGTTACACAATACAACAATGTGAATATCAACATTAACGTTACAACTTAGGATATATAAAAGTCTAGGAAGAAACATGCATCTGCATCAAATCAATGTGTTAAATAAAATGGACACGTCTACAAGATTCCAATTTGCAAGTGGCGTAGTGTTTTTATGGGAATGTGTATAAAAAAAAAACAGAAAGGCAAATGGTTTGTCTTTTTTAATAAATGGTTGGTGGATGAAGTTTATGGATATTCTTGTTAAAATAACAACTGAAATAACAGTAACAATAAAATAACTATTTTGGAAAAAAACAAAATCAAGTATTTAATGAAAAATCTGTTTTTTCATAACATTGCTATGTATTAAGGCCCGTACTCACTTTCAACATAACACTGTTATCAACAATGGTATTCAACATGTTGCCGAAATTCTACTAAAAGTCAACATGTTGCTTGGTATTTCAACGAGTTATTTCTTAGCCGTCGCTGAGCGGTAAAGATAAAAGTATGTTGACAACAAAGTTTTTGTGACATGTTGACTCTGCGTCCACACGTAATGTTTTTTAATCTAATCTTCATTTGTATACAGGCCCGAAACGGGTCAACACGGGATATATTTTTTGTGATTTGACGCCACAAAGATTATAAAAATACATAATATTAAAATTATATAAAATTAAAAAAATAATATAATGGAAATACAAAAAGTGCAACAGAAAAAAATTAAAAGCTTAATAGGACAGTTTTAGAGGGAAGTGAAGAAAAGTAAATCTCATTCAGGAAACGGGGTTAATGAGATTTACGTGAGCAAGTGGTTTGCATTTAAGAGCTTAATGTTTTTAAAGGATAAGAGCAAGCCGCGTCCCACTCTTGATGGTGAAGTTAAGGTAAGAACTTTAATTTAAAGTATGTGGTGGTTTTATTGTTTCTTTATTAAAAAAATAAAATAAATCAAAATATATTTCACCAAGTTCATTCCTAATACTTTGAGCATCCTATGTAGGCTTTCTTGCAATTTTTAAAAGCGAAAGAATTTGTTTCTGAAGATGTTTCTGATCTATTACTATTATTTTAGTCTCCACGGATCTGGCATTATCCCTCCCGTTTTCTTATCTTTCGAACAAAAACATTCTGGTTGAGTGTAGCTGCGTTTAGATGCGGTACGGTTTCGCAGAAAATTCTGCAAATAGTTGCAAGCAAGCACAATTATGCTTACTTTTTCTGGTTGAAGTAGTAGTGGCTTACGTAAACACTGTAAAACTAAATATATGATTGCATAAGCATTTTCAATAGTTGAATATTCTCTTTTTCATCGTTGAAAAGCATCATCAGCCACAAAAACGTAAGGCATTTTGTGGCCCAGCAAGGAAATTTTATTTCGGTAACTGTAAAGTGCCATGCCGTATCATTTTCGTGATCACAGTACTATCTACTCCAGCATCAACAACGCCGAAAAGTACAATACTAAGGAATCCTTTACAGTTAAAAAATTCAATTACACCTCCAATAAGTTCTTGCAACAATATGTTTCCCGCCCATAGCTCCAACGCAGTGTGGAGAATTCCAGATATGATGGTATTCATCTACTATAGTTTTCCATTGATGTTGAGACTCTACTTAATTTAAATCACAACTTGTATCTCCGCTAGCGATTACTTACCAAATGTTTGACTGTTTGCATGTCTGACATAGTCTCTCTGTTCTTCTGGTGTTACTTTAAATGAAACTCCAGAATATGCACCTAAGACTGTTAACAAAAACCTTTATTTTACCTGTTTAGTTACCTCTTTCTTAACACTTAGTTCTGTAGCTTCAGTTATGTGTCGAGCAGAGAGTATTTTGAGTTCATTATCTTTGACAGTCAGTCCAAACATTATGTATTGGATTGAGCTGACAATGATAGACTGTCTTAGACACAACGTTTCTATTGGAGGGATAACAATAAATAAAGTACACTGGAATTCTATAAAGAAATCAAGAAAACAAATATAAAATTAAAAAAGGGAAAATCCCAGTGGTTGGTGTGTATCATAGTTTTAAAAATCTTACTATGAAATAAAACCTTCTTATGTAAAATGGTATAAATTTATTAAAAAGTTTAAAAATATCCAACGTTTTCAGTCCTATCGGACCATCCTCAGTGAAAGACGTCTATATTATAGTAGTTGAAGCTAGCCACATAAGTAGTCAGATCACTCTTAAATTACATAATTAGAGTAATAAATTTTATAATTATTATGACACTAGGTCGATGTACATTGTGGTAACAACCAACAAATATGATGATGATATGTAGACAAAAAAGAGAAAAGAATTGGAAAAGTAGCTAAGAATAATGGAAGAAAAAGTCAGACCGAACATTTTCTATTGGTTTGAACTGGCCATGATAAGCAGTCTTAGTCAGAAGAACTATATTAGAGGCACAACACTATAGACAAATTCACGAGAGGATTTCAGTACAGTGCTTATGAGAAGCGACGTTGCCGCTTAGGCCGCTAGGCACGTTCATAGTCTGCAGGTGTGATACAGGACCGTGTTGGCCCTCCTGTACGATACAATCCTATTAGAAGTAAATATAACATTATTTACAAATACTCGTTATTTATACATTTATACATTATTTACAAATACTCGTTATTTATACATTATTTACTCGGAAACTGCTACAAAAAAAGTTCGTAGCTCCGTAGTGGCTACAAATTTAAATTGTTAATTTATATACCGACAGGATATATACCAACTTGGATCAATTATTACTAGTAACAGTCTCAACAATTATTACAAAGAAACGTGTGTATACACCAAAGAATAAAATTACGCTAATAAAAGAATAAAAATGTATGTAGTCTAAACGCTACCTAATGAATAAAGATAAGACTTACAATAACAGTGTCTGGTCTCTACTCCATTTCGGAAAAATCGTCCCACTGGAACTGCCGGTGTTGACTGTGATAATCACCGATAGGATATCTTCTTGTAGGTTGTCAGTTATCCACATTTCTTTTTCAATTCTGATGACATGCTGTATATCATTTTGCCACTGTTCAGCAGAGACATTGGCAAACGCTTCATTGATGAGTTGTTGCACACGATCTTTTTTAAAGTCAGTGTTTCGGGCTGCAACGTAATGTTTAGTTTGGCCCCACACCATCTCTATTGGATTAAGCTCACAGTGATAGGGAGGCAATCGTAATACTTCTACGCCGTATTTCTCGATTAAAGTTTCGATGTTATACTTGTATATATCTGCATAACTGTTTGCTACATCCAATAGTTCTGACTTTAAATAATCTTCTTCATAAAATATATCCTTCTCTCGTAACCATTCTTGAATTTGTTGTTTGTTCCAGGAGCTTCTTGGGAAATTTTGTTTTCATAAATGATATGGAGCATTATCCATTACTACCACATTTTTTCTCCTTTTGGGAGGTTTGCGATTAGTTTATTTTCAAACAAGTCTTCGAAAGACTCGCCGTTCATTTAGTCATGGTAGTCGCCTGAATCTTTTTTTGCTAAAATTACACATTTTGAATTTGGTAGAAAACCTCTATCAGATCCAACATGTAACAAGACAAATCTCGGACCTCTTTGTTTTGGATCATTTAGACCAGTAATCAATCCTTTTCAAAATGCATCCTTATAACAGGTTA